AGTTTCAAGGTAATTTGCCAATTAGCTAACCTTGAGCTGCAGTGTCTTTACCTGCAAAATGTGTGGCCTTCCAGATATATAACAGTTTAAGTGTTCTTCTGTGGTTTGATGTTTTCTCTGCCACAAATCCAGCTGGATATGGATCCTTAAGAGCAAGATTTATATCATGAATATCTTTGCTAGGTCCAGCCCCAACCCAGGTGCTGCACTGTGCCATTACCCAGTAGATAACTTTGTCTGCATGTATTGCCTACCCTTCTGATGGCACCAGTAACAGGAGGTGGCGCTTTGGTATTTAATGTAACAGAACACAAAACTAAGATAAAGCTCTCCAGCTTTTGTCTTCTGAGCCAAAGTATAATGTCTTGGGGCCAAAACAACTAGAGAACCATATCTTTTAAGGCTGGGAAGTTGGCTTAGTGGTAGAGTGCTTTCCTAGCATGCATGAAATCCTGGGTTTTCCTTGGTACTACATACATAGAAAAAGCCAGAAGTGGCGCTGCAGCTCAGGTGGTAGAGTGCTAGCCTTGAACAAAAAAGCTCAGGAACAGTGCCTAGGCCCTGAGTTCAAGTCCCATGACTGGAAAAAAAAAACAGAAAGGAGAACCATATCTTTTAAATTTATATATATAAAGCCGGAAGTGGCGCTGTGGCTCAAGTGGTAGAGCGCTCGCCTTGAGCTGAAGAGCTGAGGGACAGCGCCCAGGCCCAGAGTTCAGGCCCCACGATTGGGCCCCCCCCAAAAAAATAATAATTAATATTTTAAATTTATATATAATAAATACAATTGACTTTGTGAATGATGGTAGTATGCAAGTCTATGAGTCTTAACACATTGATTTGTAATAACCAGTGGCCACCAACAGGATACAAAGTAGCTCCAACATCTTAGAAGGTTTTCAGAGAATTTAAATCATAAAGTATGTCACCTTCTAAGCTGGTCTGTTTTTACTCAACATAATGCCTTTGAGAGTTATACATGTTGCATATTGATCATTTGTATTGTTAAGTTCCTTTCTATTGCTGAATACCATTATCTTTCTAGATGTATCAGTTTATCCATTCACCTATTGATGACATTCAGATTGCTTCTATTTGGGAGCAGTTATAAATTAAGATTTGCTATATATATCCATGTATAACTTTTATGTCAGTATGCTTTGGGTTATTGGGGCAGGGGTTGGTTGGTTGGTTGGTTGGTTGAGACAGTCTCTCTGTCCTGAACTTGCTATGTAGTCCAACTTGACCTTGAACTCAAGATACTCCTGCCAGAAATTGATGGAAAAATTACGTTAAATGAAATAAGTCAGGTTCAGAGAGACAAATGGCACAGGTTTTATCTCATATGTGGAAGTTAGATCTAACTTATAAACATATATGAAAACACACACACACACAAAAAGATACTTGTGCTTTAGTATCCCAAGTGCTGGGATTTCAGGTGTGTACCACCGTGTCCAGCTTTGAGCTTAAGTTTCTATTTCCCTAAGATAAACATAGCATTTCTAGTCTACACCTGGGCTGCCGCCAGTATTCTGTGATGGTGGAAATATTCCACATATTCAGTGTACCTAGAGCAGTCACGGTATCATACCACTGGACATTTGAATTTTTTTTTCCTTCCTGAGACAAGGTCCTGCTATGTCTGGTAGATCTGGCTGGCTTACAATAAAATCTATATGATTCAGCTTCCTCACTGTTGTACTACTACCATGCCAGTGAGGAACTATAGAGCCAAGCCCTCTGAATTATTGTTTTATTGTGTTTATGTGCCTATCCTGGGGCTTGAACTCAGGGCCTCGGTGGTGTCTCTGAGCTTTTTTGCTTAAGGCTAGAACTCTATCACTAGAGCCAACAGCTCTACTTTTGGCTTTTTTGGTAGTTAATTGGAGATAAGAGTCTCATGAACTTTCCTGCCAAGGCTGGATTTGAATCAGGAGCTTCAGACCTCAGCCTTTTTTTTTTTTTTTGGTCAGTCGTGGGGCTTGAACTCTGGGCCTGGAAATACCTAATGGGGAAATTGCTGGGTCAAATGGTAATCCTGCAGTTAACTTTGTGAGTTAAATACCATACCATTTTCACAGTATCTGTGCCATTTTCCATTCCCACCCTTAATATTTGTGTTCCATTTGTTCAACATCATTGCCTCATTATTGTGATTATTGTGGGGGTGGTCTTACTTGTTCTGTTTTGTTTTTAGCCATTCTGATGGGTTTATGGTAGCATCTTACTATGGCTTTAATTTTAATTTGCATTTCTTTTCACGTGCTCATTTGCCACTTATAGTCCTTCTTTGGTGAAGTAAGGTTAAATATTTATGTTTTCTTCTACAGGTTTTATAGCTTTATATTTTATATTTAGATCTATGGTCTGTTTTGAAATACATGTTTGTTTTGTTTTTTTGAGGTATTATTAATAATGGAAACAAAACATCTAAAACTAGAGCGTCTATACAAACCACTTGTTCTGTGTGTATGTGTATATGTGTATTGGTGGTATATGTGTGTGTTGGTAATGGGGCTTGAACTCAGGGCCTGGGCGCTGTCCTTGAGCTCTTTCACTTAAGGCTAGCACTCTACCACTTTGAGCCACAGCTCCACTTCCAGGTTTTCTGGTGGTTAACTGAAGATAGTTTCAAAGACTTTCTTGCCTGAGTTGGCTTTGAACCACGATCCTCAGATCTCAGCCTCCTGAGTAGCTAGGATTACAGGCATGAGCCACCAGTGCACAACCAGAACCACTTGTTCTTGTTGATCTTGTATCTCTAATTTGACTCTGGTCTCCCATTGGTCCTTGTGAAAAATAGAACAATTCACAAATTTTCATGTTATCCTTGCATAGAGGACGTGCCAATCCTCTCTATATTGTTCCAATTTTAGTATATGTGATGCCACAAAGTAAGTACTTTTTATTTGTATCACATTTTAGTTTTGGAAGTGCTGGGGTTTGAACTCAGGGCCTTTCTCTTGCTAGCACTCTATCACTTGAGCCATGCATCCAGCCCAGTTTTTTGCTGGTTATTTCGAAGATAGAGTCTAGTGAACATTTCAGTCTGTACAAGCCATGACCCTCTAGCTACTGAGTAGCTAAGATTGCAAGCATGAGTAACTTGTACCCAATAGTTTTTTTTGTCAGTCATGGGGCTTGAACCCAGTGCCTGGGCACTGTCCCTGAGCAATTTTGCTCAAGGCCAGCACTCTGCCACTTAGAGCCATAGTTCCACTTATGGTTTTTGAGTGAATAATTGGAGATTAGAGTGTCACAGGGACTTTTTTTCCCAGGCTGGCTTCGAACCACAGTCCTTGGATCTCAGCTTCCTGAGTAGCTAGGATTACAGGTGTGAGCCATTGGCACCTGGCTAAATTGATTTTTTTTTTGGTGGGGGGTCCGGTTGTGGGGCCTGAACTCTGGGCCTGGGTGCTGTCCCTCAGCTCTTCAGCTCAAGGCTAGCACTCTACCACTTGAGCCACAGCACCACTTAGCTTTTTTCTTTTTGCTTATGTGGTGCTGGGGAATCGAACCCAGGGCCTCATGCATTGCAAGGCAAGCGCTCTACCACTGAGCCACCTTCCCAGCCCCTAAATTGATTTTTTTTGATATATTATGGTTTATTGTTTCAAGTGAATGAAATATATAAATCCCACTGAGTGTAGTGTGGCCCTGAAATACAAACAGGTTAAATGTAAATTTGATATTTTAATATGTGTATTCATGTATCTACCATAAATTGTCTTAATGACAATGGCAAACTTTCTTGTCTAAATTGATTTTTTTAATGGGTGTGACTTATACTTTTTTTTTCTGTTGGAATGTGGATGTCTAACTTCTCAAGTTGTCCAAATTATCATTTCTCCACTAAATTCTTGTTGTGCATTTTTAGGAAAGCCATTGATCGCATTTGTGTTGATCTATTTTTATCTATGATTTTATTCCTTTACCAATTACTGATTGTGAAACATTATGTAAAGGTAAAGGAATCAGAATAGCCACAGCAACTGAAAAAGAAAAGTAAGATTTGAAGAAAAGAGTAAGAAAAACATCAGTATCTTAAGACTAACCTAAACCTGTAGTTATCAAAAAAACATAATTAGTTGAGAGTATTTTAAAATTTTGTGGAAAATTACCACCTTAACATTGACTTTCCCAACTTGTAAACTTATTTTCTCTTCCTTTTTAGGGATTTTCCTCCCTTTCAGCAGCATTTTTTTTAATTTGTTTTTGTCAGTCGTGGGGCTTAAACTCTGGGCCTGGGCACTGTCCCTCAGCTCTTCAGCTCAAGGCTAGTGCTCTACCACTTGAGCCACAGCGCCACGTTCAATTTTCTGAGTAGTTTAATTGGAGATAAAAGTCTCACAGACTTTCCTGCCTGGACTGACTTTGAACTGCAATCCTCAGATCTCAGCCTCCTGGGTAGCTAGGATTACAGGCGTGAGCCACCAGCACCTGGCCCTTTCATCAGCATTTAGGTCCTACACATATTCTCTGTTATGTTTATATCTAAGTATTTTACAGATGGTTTTACTTTAAAATTTCTATTTCCAGTTGTTCTTTGAGCATACATAGAAATATGTTTTATATTGACATTGTATTCTTTGACTTTACTAAGCTTTATTATTTCTTCTGGGAACTATTTTTTGATTCCTTAGGAATCTTTAAATGTTTGGTACAGTTCACTTATGAAATCATCTGGGCCTGGAGTTTTCTTTTTTGAAAGGTTTGCATCTACAAATTTAGCCTCCTCAACAGTCAATCTGTTTCTTTTAGATGAGTTTTGGTACTTTGTGGCTTTTGATTTCACTTAAGTTGTTTAATAAGTTGATGTATATGGCGTTTAAAATAATCCCTTTGCATCTACTTAAGTGTCTATGTGCTCTCTGGTAATAGAAATCGTCTATTCATGACATTGATAATAAAGTCTTCAGTGCATGTTCCTCTTTTAGGCCAAGGGCTTATCAATTTTATTCATCTTCTAACAAGTTTTCATGTTTGTCTCTTTGCAGTTGACTGGTCTGAGTGTTTCCAATGGAAAGGACCAACTTGTAGTGTTCCATACAAAAGACAACAAGGATCTTATTGTCTGCCTTTTCAGCAAACAGCCTACACATGAGAGTCGAATTGGAGAACTTGTTGGAGTCCTGGTGAATCATTTTAAGAGGTAAAGTTTTAAATATACAAAAATTTTTTGAATAGTTGTAGAAAAGGGTTACAATTCCATAAGTCAGGTTATGAGTATAGTGCTTCTTGGTCAGTGTCACCCCTTCATTCTCCTTCTTCTCCCTTTCCCATTCTCAAGTTACATAGTTCATTTTTTACATAATGTACATTGAATATAATGACTACATTGCTCACCCTTCCCTCCAATTCCTGTGCCCCCATTGCCCATCCCCTAAAACATATTTCCACTTCCTGGGATTCATTTTGATAAGCAGTTGTTCAGAGGAGTTACACGTTTGGATTCCTCCAAGTATACCCTCCTTTAGTCAGTTTGTTTGTGTATAAATGCTTTGAGCCCTATATAGGCTACCATGAATAGTTGTATTTTAGATTTAGCTTCCACATCTGAGAGAAAATATGTACCTTTTGTCTTGTTGAGCCTAGCTACTTCATTTAACATGATTTGTTCTAGGTCCATCCATTTTGCTACATATTATTATTCTAATGGGCAAGTAAAATTCCATGATGTACATTACTACATTTGTATCATTCTTGATCCACTCATTTGTTGTAGGGCATTTGGCTGTTTCCATAACTTGCCTATCATGAATAGTGCTGCAGTGAACATGGATATGCAAGTATCTTTATTCTGACTTGTAATGCGCTGGGTAGATGCCCAAGAGTGGTATTACTAGGTCATATAAATACATGAAATTTTAAATCATACTACTAAACTTGTGTTATGCCAACTTGTCCTCCAAAGGACATATTAAATCATTTTCTCACAGAAGGTACAATTAACATCCAGCCCTGGTTTCAAGATTAGGAATGATTTCTACTTTTCCAGCCTCTAGCTGAACCAGCAACAGATTTCCCTAATGGCTATTTCTTTACTGCCAATCCAAATGTAATTAAATCCAAACAATAGAAAACATTACTTTATATTCTTCTTGTCACAGCTTCTCATTTACCCCAAACATAATCAGTATGTCTACTATGACTATAAACAAATTAGAAGGCAAATTTAAGATAACATGTAGGTCTATGAAAAGTAAAGAAATTCCCAAGGCAAGAAGTTTTTGCTGCAGAAACTTGGAAGTTGTGATGGAAAATGGCATATTCTGAGAATGTCACAGAAAGCCTAGAAAATGTGTGGGGTGAATGTGTGGGGTGTGATGACCAGTCACAGATATACAAATGGAATTTTGAGGATGGTGGAAACCAATGAATGAATCACTTTAAGCAGAAAAGTGGTTTGTCTGGCTATTTTAGAGATGCAGTTATCCTTCCCATAAGAGATCATGGAGTCGGGGCTGGGAAGGTAGCTCAGCGGTAGAGTGCATGCCTTGCAAGCATGAGGCCCTGGGTTCAATTCCTCAGCATCACATAAACAGAAAAAACCGTAAGTGGTGCTGTGGCTCCAGTGGTAGAGAACTAGCCTTGAGCTGAAGAGCTGAGAGACAGCGCCCTGACCCAGAGTTTAGGCCCCATGACCGGCAAAAAACAAAAAAAAAGAGATCATGGAGTCTTAGGATAAGTGTGTCCCCAGTGTTAAATATTGTTGTTTTTTTATTTTAATTTATTAAATTTATTACGTGTTATATGCTAGTCCTGGGGCTTGTACACAGGGCACGGCCATTGTCCTTGAGCTTCTTTTGGTCAAGGCTAGTACTCTTAATACTTGAGCCCCAGCACCGCTTCTGGCTTTTTCTGTATATGTGGTACTGAGGGATCAAACACAGGGTTTCATGAATGCTAGGCAAGCACTCTACCACTAAGCCACCTTCCCAGCCCATTAAATATTGTTCTTATTGTAGCATATAGTCTTTGCCATCCCCACTCCATTTTGATGGTGGGACAGGACCACTCCTCAAAACCAGTGACTGAGAAAGAACACAAATAGTGACAGCAGCTCCTTTTCTTCCTGAAAGAAATGTATGCTAAAGCTGGGCGCTGGTGGCTCACGCCTCTAATCCTAGCTACTCAGGAGGCTGAGATCTGAGGATCGCAGTTCAAAGCCAGCCCGGGCAGGAAAGTCCATGAAACTCTTATCTCCAAGAAACACCCAGAAAACCCGAAGTGGCGCTGTGGCTCAAGTGGTAGAGCGCTCGCCTTGAGCTGAATTGCTGAGGGATAGCACCCAGGCCCAGAGTTCAAGCCCCATGACCGACAAAAAAAAAAAAAATGTATGCTAGTACTAATAATAAAAGCAAAGTTGCAGCTGCCAACCAAAGTTTGTTGAGCAAAACTGCTTACATAGCTACCGCCCAGAGGACCTGTGGCTAAGGAAATTTCTTCTTGGTCCTGCTGACCCAAGTGAAGATGAAATATAGGCAAGCTGAGGGAAGAAATGGTCTTGAGCAGAGGACCAGGCAGTTTTGAGAAAGGATGATGTCAGGCTACAATCCAGGCTGAACATATAGGACAACTGTAGCTGGATAACCTCATCTCTTCATAAAGTAGCTTTTCCCACAAAAGCAATGAAATTACCAAGAGAGAGAGAAGAGGGGGGGAGAGAGAGAGGGGGGGGGGGGGGGGGGGAGGGAGGAAGAGGAGGAGAGAGGAGCAGAGGGGAAGAGTGGGGGGGGGGGAAGGGGAAAGGGGAAAAGAAAGGAAAAACAGTATCCAGGTGCTGGTGGTTCATGCCTGTAATCCTAGCTACTCAAGAGGCTAAGATCTGAGAATCACAGTTCAAAACCAATGGGTCAGGAAAGCCCATGAGACTTGTATCTCCAATTAACCACTAAAAAGCCTAAAGTGGAGCTGTGGCTCAAAGTGATAGAGCACTAGCCTTGAGCAAAAAGCTCAGGGACAGAGCCCAGGCTTGAGTTCAAGCTTCACAACTGAAAAGAAAATAGCAAGAGAACTGTAAGTAGACTCTTCCAAAATAAGAAGTACAGAAATAAGCAAAGGTAGATAAAGAAATATAGGGGAATAGATTTTATGTTTTAAAAAAAAATAGGCTAGACATAGAAGCACACATCTTTAATCTCAGCACATGGGAGGATAAAACATCAGCATTTGAGTTCAAGGCCATCCTGGGCTACATAGAAAAACCCTGTCTCTAAAAAAGGGGAGAGGGGAAATAAAGTGAGCCATGCAATTATTCTAAATCCTGTCCTTTAGGCCGTTGTATACTTAGGGGACTCCAGAGGAACATGGTGAATTCCCTGAGCCAAGGTAGTTATGAAGAGTGTGGGGAGAGCCTAAGTCTGTAGATCAGAGTACCAGAGAGGAGAGAAAACCCTAGAGATCTGTGTAGAACCTCACCCCTCCAGCATTCCACAAAGTATCAATTAGTACATGAGGAAGGGAAAACTACACATGCCTGGGGAAGAAGGATACAGCTAAGAGGACCAGAGGGAACAATGTCCAGCTCTTACACAACAGTATTAGCCTGGGCTCTAATTCAGAGGGCATCTGGGTGAAGGACTCAAAGCATTTTCACTCAGCAGGAGGAAAACTTCACCATAAAATAAATTCTATAGTAAATGCTATCTAATAAATCTTAAAAGCAAGACTCAAAGGATAGCATGGCTTTCAAGTAATTTATGTCCTGAGCAATGCTCATGAATATAAAAATAAAAAGATGTCCAGACCTAACACGATAGAATTTATAATGCCTGACATCCTGTCAAAGATATACAGTTAGGCAAGAATACACAATCTATTATGAGGGAGAAAAATCATAGAAAACCAACCCACAACTGACAAAGATGTTAGAATTAGCAGAAACAGACATTAAAAGCTATTGTGAATAAATTTCAAATGTTTATAAGTGAACTAGAGACATGGAAGATATTTTCCTTAAAAAAATCATTTCAAACTTCTAGACTAAAAAAATGCATCAATGTTTGAAATAATTTCATGATTTAAAGCAAAAAGGCCTATTGCTTTTCATGTTACCAAGTAAATTTCTCATTATCACTACTGTTTCTTTCATGAACTACAACGAGGCCTTCCTGGTGATTCCTTCCATGTAAATCAACTATGAATAAATTAGTATCTTTCTCTTAACTTCCTGCAGACTTTACTCAACCTACATCTATTTTTCTGCCTCCCAAAACACTCATCCATATGTTTAGTGTATTCTTAAACATCTGAAAACAGCCTTGTTTTTCCTCCCTGGTACCAGCATGAAAGTAGTTTTTAATAGATGACTCTCAGGGCCTCACACATGCTAAGCACATGTTCAGTACATGTTCTACCACTGAGTTATACCCCCATCCCTGAAGATTGTCTTTATATTCCGAAGGGTATATGTGTATACACACATATATATGCACATGTGTGTGCTTGCTTAAATGTTCATACATGTATATTCAGATGTATGAATATTAATGTGTATATACATATTAATAGAAATATATACACACAAGTATATGTGAAGAAAATAATTGTATGTTACTTTTTTGTTTTTGTTTTGTTTTTTGTCGATCATGGAGCTTGAACTCTGGGCATGGGTGCTGTCCCACAGCTCTTCAGCTCAAGGCTAGCACTCTACCACTTGAGCCATAGCGCCACTTTGGGTTTTCTGAATGGTTTATTGGAGATAAGAGTCTCATGGGCTTTCCATGCCCATGCTGGCTTTGAACTGGGATCCTCACATCTCAGATTCCTTAGTAGCTAGGGTTACAGGCATGAGCCACCAGCATGTGGCATGTATAGATATAGATATAGATAGATAGGTAGATAGATAGATAGATAGATAGATAGATAGATAGATAGATAGAATGATCTATTTTGTACATATATGGAAAGAGCTATCTAAATTATAGATCACCTGTATTCCACATCTCTCATTGCAATTTTTGTATAAATAACAATATGCTACGTACACCACTTTATATCTTTTTCCCCTACTTAACAATATATAAAGGCAGGCAGAAAAGTCTGTGAGATTCTTCAATTAATCACCAAAAATCCATAAGTAGAGCTGTGGCTCAAATGGTAGAGCACTACCTTTGAGCACAAACACTCAGGGACAACACCAGGCCCTGA